GTATGTGATTGGATGTTGTTTATGCGTTTCCACAGTTTTCATACGGTTTCGATGAATTTTTTTTGTTTGATAGATAATTCTTCAGTGCCGGTTTTGAGTCCAAATTTTTGGCGACAATGGCTCTCCACTACTTCCTGTCCATTATAACTCTCAGCAACGTTTTACTACTGTCAGTTCTTGGATATATATTTTTCATAAAAACTTTAATAAAAATGAATAGTTTAAATTATTAAAAAAATATTATCTATATCTATAATTCTCAAAATGTGTGTGTGTGTGTGTGTGTGTGTGATCGGATGTCGTTTATGCGTTTCCACAGTTTTCATTCGATTTCGATGAATTTTTTTGTTTTTTTTTTTGTTTGATAGATAATTCTTCTATGCCGGTTTTGAGTACAAATTGTATGGAAAAAATTACAACCTTGAAGGTATAAAATCGAAAATCTTTAGTCTTTTTTTAGGCTGACTTTAAACTGCTCCGATTGAACGGCAAAAATTCCCAGTAATGAAAGAACCGGTCGAAGACGGGTTATACTGCTAATTACAATTTATAATATAATAAACTACTTACATAAACTCTTTCAATTGTTCTCTCTCCCTCCCTCCCTCTCTCTCTCTCTCTCTCACACACACACACACACAAACACAACAAATATTTTCATCATATGTTTCTGAAGAAAAAAAAGCCACTACTAAATTTTGGCTCAAGAGAATGGAAAGAAATTAAAAATGCGAATAAAGATACACTTCAGTTTAGCCTCAACGAACATAAGATATTTTCTAAAGTATTTTACTTGTAGTTAGATTGTCAGGTCTATGAACATTCTCTTTATAGTTAGATACGAATTATAATGTCAAAATTAAAATGGTAATGATAATGGTAATATTAACCGTTTTCTTATAAGGAAACATTTGGCATTTATTAACCGAGTAGCCAGTACAACTTTCTTGTATATATAAAACCTTTCTATTAAAACAATTTTTGAAAATAATTTCACCCCAGGCACATCAATAAAACCACTAAGACGCAGAAGGTTACTGAATGTGAAAGAATATAAGAAAAAGAGAAACATTATTAAGAAGAGATGTAAGAAACTAGAAGAGAGTTCCACAGACGAGAAGTGCAAGAAAAGAAACTTACGTTTAGATCTAGCCATTTCAATTGTAGAATGATGAGACCTTGTCGCCAATCTAGTATTCTGCTTAAATTCATAAAGTTTATGGGAAAGTTCATCAGAACAATTACCATGGAAATACATATAAAAAAAGGTACGGGTAAACTACATTATGGCGGTGTCTGAAGCTGAGATGCTAGGTCAGGACCAATGACATTGCAGATTCTTCTTTAAATTTATCAAGGATTTCTAAATATATAAAAGAAACATCAGAGCCTATGTGGCAATATTCGAAGCATGGACGAATTGTAGACTTATAAATATGTAAGATAGATTCAATCGAGAATTGTCTAGCACGATACAGTGAACCAACTTTCCTAGCAGCAGAGCTAGCAAATGATTCAATATAATCTTTCTACTTCATGTCAGCAGAAAACGAGGAAACGAAAAGATGCAATGAGTCACTTTCCTGGAGGTTAGCATCAGCCACGCTGATGGAAAGCAGAAAAGGTTTTCTCAGATGATTAATAGAGAACAGTTATGTTCTGGCAGTGTTAAAATTAACAAACCATTCCATGTCCTAGTTTCAACAGAATGTAGGTCATTTTTTAGATGAGCTACCAATTTGAACTTATCGGACCGATCAGATTTACTACTAAAACAGGAGTAAATAGGTGTGTCATCAGCATATTTTGGTTAACTGTTATTCCTATTTCCAATATTGGTAGGAGTTTCCTTCCTCGCCTTTTACTTGAATTAGTATGGAATGTCAACATTTTAATTATGTCATGACAATGTTGATAATGACAGATGACCGTTGATTAATTTATGCTGATATAAGTCTTCTTCAATTAGCTTCTTGTATGTGTGTGTGTGTGTGTGTGTGTGTGTGTTTGTCTATGAATTGATGATGAGACATGTGTAAATAAAAACATTTCTTTTTCCTGTTATAAACAATTCAACAGTTTACGTAGAAAAAAATCCTGTTCGGTCTATTTTTAGAACTAGTGAAAAACATTATACACATTTTTATGTTCAACACAGTGACTTTTGAATTTTCATATTGATACTAAAATGCTTGAGGTCAAAGCTAAAGCACAAATCGATACTTACATATAAACAGTTTTAAATCTGTATAGCAAGATGAATTAAACAAAAGTTTAACGAGGTTAATATACTTTTGAATTTAGTTTCTATGATGGGTTTCATTAAGTGGAATATCCTCGTGATATCTCTCTCTTTCTCCCCCTCTCTCTCTCTCTCTCTCTCTCTCTCTCTCTATATATATATATTTGTATATATATATAACAATAATGCACCTATCAAAGTGCGAACAGATTACTTGAATTTAAATAGGCATCTCTACAGAAACGCGTTACCTAAGTTTAAAATGATTTTTTCAAATGAACTAGCTGTCTTGAAGCTTTTATTTTAGTTTTAAGTTCCAACTAACAGATTAAATTTGATATTTCGAATAAGAAAAATACTTTGCTGCATTTCAAAACTAATTTAAATTGACTGAAAATAGTTTTTTTTGTAAATCGCCGATTTAGCGTCATTTTTAGTCATCTGCCAGCGAAATGTAATTCTCTTTATTAAAAATATTTGAAAAATAAAATATACTTTTCTAAAATTAAATTATGACGAAAGCTTACCGTTTTGGAGTTATCGACAAGAAAAAATCGGACTTCTTGTTGGTCATTCGTCCGCCATTACTGCCATCATGAATCCTCAATCACTGCCGAAAGATTTTTGTCGGAGTCATAAAATTTGGGTCTATTTACTTCTTTTACAGACTTTCCTTGCAGAAAATCACTACGCACTACCATAAAGAAATGTAATTTTTTTTTTTGATAAGTTTAGTTTTATTTATAACAAAAACAAATTAAATAATAACCTTTTTCCGTTTCGAATAGCAATGACAAATTAAAAGAACAAATTAAATAATAAAAATAATGCATTTTTTATATTGTAAAATTGAAAATAAAACAAAAATTAATACACAAACTTGATAAAGTAGAAGGGTTGATTGTATTATTTCGTTTGTTTTTAAATTGTCCCCTTTTCTACACAGAAAACCCCACCCCTGACCTTAATACCTAACCCTAAAGTTAATCTTTAGGGTTAGGTATTAAGATTAGGGTTGGGTTTTCTTTCTGTGTAGAAAAGGGGACAAAAATTAATGCACAAACTTGGTAAAGTAGAAGGGTTGATTGTATTATTTAATTTTTTTTAATTTGTCCATTTTTCTACACAGAAAATCACAACCCTTACCTTAACAACTAACTCTAAAGTTAATTTTTTTTAATTTATTCCCTTTTCTGCACAGAAAGAAAACCCCAACCCTAACCTTAAAACCTAATCCTAAAGTTAATCTTTAGGGTTAGTTGTTAAGGTTAGGGGTGGGGCTTTCTTTCTGTGTAGAAAAGGGGACAAATTAAAAAATAAAAAACATTAATTTTTGTCCCCTTTTCTATGTGAATGCCGGGAGCAAACAGTTTGAACATTTGAGAGATTGATATGTTATTGAAATGTTTATTATTGATGTGTTTGTATAATCAATACATACGTTTTATGTGTACGTTTGTTTGTCATTACTGTATACATACTTTTGTATTTGTCTGTATAAAACCACGTGTGTATTCATATTCTTTGTTTTAAATACAGGTTTCACCTGGAAAAGTCATACCAGTAGGAATTTTCCAACTTATAAAATAAGGGTGTCTGTTTAAATAAACATTACGCCTACAATTGTTATATAAGTTTAACAAATGTGGGACTAAATAATCATGCCGCGGAGAAAATAATTTTAAAAATAATAAGCGTGTCATACCAATTAATACCAAGCCATGGGAAAGACCTGAAATCAATCGTACCGGCACTTTTATTTTTACTGTTAGTTTACCTAATACAAAGGCCAAGTGTCACTCAAGGTAGAGGGTTACTGGGTAAGTTTGTAAGGAAGAGGGAAGTAAGAGAGTGTTATGAGGATAAGTAGGATAGATATCATTTGACCTTTGACTTAAAGAGACCAATATTGTAGTCGTTAGGGAATCATTCTCTCGGGTGTTTGTTCTACAAAGTAACAGTTTTGACGAAGAAGCCGTCTGGGTGAAACTTGCTCTTTATCAAAGGAACACGAAGAGAATGGGGATATTTAGCTACCGTGAGCATGGCATGGCGGATCCTAGCTGTGAAGGTCTGAACTTGTAGAACTAAGCAATGTACCTCGTTCGAACATTAATACCACATTAATAACGATAGAGTAGTGGGAAGCTGGCATTGGTTTATCTGTGGGATAAGGGTTGCATGGTGGAGAATAGTTCATCACTCACAAGGCCGTGTAAGAGTTTTTGAACCATGTCGAGGCTAGACAGTGAGGATTGGGCAGCACCAGTAATCGCCCAGATAGAGCATGGTAGCGGGAGTTAGGTATTTTCTGGAACGATACAAGGAATCGACCATTTTTCCACCATCTTTTGCGATGGCACAAATATACGTTCCACTTGAGGTCAGGAGTGAGCTTTATACTCAGTAGGCAGTTGAGGCAAGGAACCTTTTTGAGGATATGACCACTCGTCAGGATTGGTGCAGGTTTACGCTCTGCTTGGTGGTGATAAAATGTGATTAGTTTAGTTTTCGATGTATTCAATGATATCGGCCAATCTTTTCTCTATTGAGCTGTGACAGTAGGTCAGAGGTGAAATCAGTTGCCAAGCACTGATCATCAAGTTATATGGGCTGTGTCATATGCATATACATATATTTACTAAGGGTCGTTAATTAAGTATAAATAGGGTGAGACCGGAGGGAAAGCCTTGGCGGGGCGCTAGATTTGATCTCATGTGATTCAGAGGACTGGGCATTAACGTATTTATATAGAGCTTATGGCCAAATCAAGCTGAAACACTGGTTCTCATTTGATCACTGAAGTTAAGCAGTGTCGAACCCAGTCAGTACTTAGATGTGGGACCGCCGTGTACTGTAAGCAAAAACCGGGTACAAAACCAGTTGGAAATGGGACTGATAACTTTATCTCGTAAAACCTTGCTTGTTATGGAAACCACAACAGCAACGCCTAGTGTTGTTGAAAACTGTGGCCGCATTCTTCTCAGTGGAGTCTATGGGATTAGAGGAGAGAGAGAAAGTAGAATACACACACACGCGTGAGCGCGCGCGCACACATACACACACATATATATATATATATATTTACGAAAACACTAAATTTCGTAAATGTTTTTGTTTTACATTTTCTATTTTGGAATTTTGTATTGAGCACTTTTTAGTGTTTATACCTTTTAGGCGCGGCTGTTTTCAGCCTTCCTTTACAATATATTATTTTATATCATATACTGTATATTACATATATACATATATATATATATATGTGTGTGTGTGTGTGTGTTTCACTCTGATCCATTATATATCCCCGACGGTGGTAGAATATGACACAGTCACTTCCACCTGACGTGCCCATATATGTACTTACGGGTCAAGGTCAACGTTTGCTCAATTCCTGTCACCATTGTTGCACAGATGTCAGAATTCTTTGAACCGCAAGATTTGGTGCAATGGGGAGGTGCTGTCATAAGGCTGAACCCTCGGGACCAGGCTTCCTTCACTACACGTCCATGAACTGCTGGAAGACAAACATAAGGCTCTTCAGACCACTCACTAATCTGTGTCAAGATTTATATCAATATCGTCTAATATCCTGTTTCATAGAACAATTTTGAGTTTTTCCCAAGCTAACTGAGGATAGTTTCATATCTTTCCTTGGTAACGCTCCTCATTCAACTCTTTTTTTTCAAAAATAGAACACCCAGAAGAGCCTTTCTCATTTCTGAATGGATTCTTTCTGGTATTGAAAGTTTTATTCCTCATAATAAATATCAGCAAAGGCTGAATATCCAATCTTGATACACGCCTGAATGTACTGCTAACCCTAACCCTTACTATAATCTCTATCACTGTAAACACTGTTAGCAAGACTGTTGCCGCATTTAGAACTGCCTGTAATCATCGCAAAAAAAGTTCTGTATAAGATCTAAGATCAGCTATGCACAGTCAGCCCGAAACAAATTTGAAAGCGAAAGACTTGATTAACATTAGTTCTGGAAAATCACTAACAAGATTCATAAGAGTCAAATTTCGAATTCCAGTCGAATCCATTACATTCACTTACGTGCTAATACCCTTGAGAAAGGCATGAATCCTCTTCTTCTCCCTCCAGCTATGGGTAAATAGCAGGATAGATCGGGTTCTATAGCCTTGGATGGCAACTGGTCTACCGCAGAAAGAAATGGCAACCTACTGCGGGAAAAAAATCTGCCTCCTCAGTCATGTATCGAAAGATGCATGATCGCCTAAGCGCGTGTCATGCATAGCACATAACAGAAGTTTGTGACTACTATTATTAATGGCCCAGAGTTTATTTCACCCTGAGACAAAGTTCATTGCAAAGAGCTTTCCAATGAAATTGACCTCAAATTCTACACTAGAAAACCAAAGTTGTCCCCCTACTTGATGTTCTCTCCTCACTGATGACAAGCTTTGTGATTTAAAAATTTCGGCTCGGGCAGTTTCCGGAATCATCAAAATCCTTGAATCTGCGAAGGCTACTGGTTCGGAAAAAATCCCTGTTGTCGTTCTTATGAACGTTATCCCTGAGCTGCCTCTAATAATAATTAACTGCTGCCTGAAGGAGAAATGTTTCCCGTGTACTTGCCCAGGGGAGTAGGGCACGAGTATAGGGCCCATGCTAATTTGTGTATGTTAAGTGATTTGTGTTACAAATCCTCTCTTTAGGAAATACTAAAAATGGAAATTACTACAAGCCACGCGTATTGTGATTGGTGAAAATTAACATATATATAATAATAGAAAGATCCATTTCATCTGGGTTGTTTGTTTTTGTTTTACGGCATATCAACCTCAATGGGTCATTTAATGCCGACAACTTTTTTTTCCTGGTAATATTTTTGTTTTGTCAAAAATCTATTTCTGTTAATATTTTTTTCCCAAAAATGTATAGCTGCTAATATTATTTTTTTTCAAAAACGTATAGCCGGCAACACTATTCTTTCAAAAAAACGTATAGCTGGTAATAATATTTTTTCAAAAACGTACAGCTGGCAACATTATTTTTTCAAAAAGGCCTTTCAGAGTCCTTGCTGTTGGACGTAGTTTATCGTCTTAACCAGGATGCGGATGTAGTTTATCGTCATACCCAGGACGTGGATGTAGTTTATCGTTCATCTGGGTTGGTTCTCGAATAAAAAAGAAAGTGGAAGAATGTCTTCCTTTTGACTTAGAAGACACTGGAAACGGCGAGGACTTTCTTCAAAGAGGCCGCCCACCTATACAAATGGAAAGGCTGGTTTGCCTCGCCAATTCAGTCCATTTCCAGACAATTTCGCTATCACAGAAAAGATCAAGGAACTAACTGACTCCCGACGATCTGTCTTCGCACAATCCTAGCACAGACTCGCCGGTCAAACTCTCATTTCTATCTATTAATATTTATGACCAACACTACTGTTGACGTTCTGTTATCTTTTTTTTTCTGGTTTGATTTAATTCTTAAATTTCCCCTAGACTGAATCAATATTGTTTTGAATGTTTAATTGTAATATAATTATATTTTTACTTTTGTAAATAAATTATTTTACTGTTATAAAACTCTAGCGTTGATAGTATTTCTTTATTTTCCTTTTTTTTCACCTTCTCTCTCTCTTTTCTTTTTTTCGTGACCGTGACAAAATGGGGGCTCAGCTTTGATGATCATTTCAAAACAAAAACAGCAGTTCGAATGAAGAATGTCACTTAAATGTTATGTTTTCATTGCACTGAATGAAGATCAATCAAGAAGTAGTATGTCGCTTGGAGTCGACGTAGTCTTGCTGAAATGGGTAGTAAGCAGATAAGCTAGATCTCTAACTTTCTACTCTTTCTCTTCTCTCTATTTACCAACCTCCTCACAAGGCAAGATGTGGCACAAGGCCAGTTCTTAACGTGGGTGTTCCGAGCTCGTAGGCACTGGCAAAAATTGCCCGTAGACCCCATATACACGAGGTCGGGTTTGTCTACATCCCCAAACAAAACTCTGATCTTCGGCATAGCCTCGTCTGAGTTCTTCTCCGCCCAGAGGCAGAGAGTTCCACAAGAGAGGAAAAGAAAGCCTCCTCCTACTACTACTACTCTTCCTCCTACCCTTTCTCTCCGTCTGCTGACAATTCTCGGTATCAGTCTTTGGACGAGTCCAAGTTCTCTTCTGGAGAGGTGTGTTCATTTTCGCAACATCCCCGTTTTTAGATATGCACTTTCCTTAGTCGATACTTTTTCCGACATGTGTTCACTTCCAACGTTTCAGTCGGATTATGTTTTCGCTTATCCTGACGTTGTATTGTAATTTCAGTTTTAGGAATAGGTACTTCAAAAGTATCGTAAAGTATGTCCATCGGTAAATTAAATTGTACTGGTTGCTTATTCTGTACATATCTAGACCTCAATTAATTTATATGTCTCTCATGACGCAATCGTTCTCCTTTGACGAAGTACATCATATTACCAAGGCGCCGAATAATTTTTCCTTCCTACCAATTTTCTTTTCCGGCCTTAAAGCTTTTAAAGAAAACTTTATTGCCGATTTTAAATGATCTGGTAGTTTGAAATTGTCGAACTTTCTTATTCTCTGACAGTGGATCTAACTTTTCTATAAAACATGAGCTCTGCAGGTAACATTTTTGTGGTGACATTTGCACTTGACGTTATTCGATATACGCTCAAAAATTCTTGTAGTGCCGTTTCTTCAGTTTCCAAGCCTTTAGCTTTTCTTAATGCTCTTTTGAAGGTGTCAACAAACCGTTCCGCTTGACCATTCAACCTCGGATGATAAATCGGCGTTCTCAAATGTCCAATCGCGTTGCTTTTTCAGAAATTTTTAAACGCACTAAAAGTAAATTGAGTTCCATTATCGGATACCACGCTGTCAGGTACTCCAAACCTTGCAAAAAGGTTCGCACAAGAATTTAATTGTTTTTGCGGTAGTAGGTCATTTACACTTCAATATCTCGGGCCATTTTGTGAAACTGTCGACCACAATTAAATAGTATGAACCGTTTAGCGGTCTAGGAAGTCCATATGTAGTCTTGCTCACGGTTTATCAGTGCTCGGCCAGCTTATCATCGGGGACTTCATTCTCACTATTTCCGGGTGTTCTACATGGAATTGTTTTAAAATTCTTTTTGTAGTGATAATGGAATTACAACTATCCGCGTACAAAAATACTCCATCACAAATAGAAAATTCAGTATTGTTGTTAGCAGGTTTAATTTTAGTTTCACTCTATTTCGACTTAAAGTCATTCCTAGTTTTTTTAAAAATAAAGTATCCTTTTTAGAATGAATTTTGATATCGTCTATCGTGACCGACAATTCTTTAATAGTGTTACACACCAGGCTTTTAATTTCACTTTCGGATTCCAGCGAAGCAATCACAGTATCTTCAAAATCTTCTTTACATTTCGATATCAATTTGGATAAGTCATTTGTCTGTCCCAACTTCTTTGACGAAAGATATTTCATCTTGAAATCATAGTTCAACAAAATCGTTGCGCACCGCCTGCTTTCACTGTGCCGTCTTCGAATTTATGGCCTAATACCGCTCCTATGCCGTATTCACTTGCATCGACGCTACTATTATCTGACAGTGCGGGTCGTAATGTGCCAGCGATAACTCTGAAGTTAGTAATTTTTTAATTCCTTCGTAAGCTTTTTAACATTCCGCCAACCAATTCCATTTCGTGTCCTTTTTAATTAAATTATTCAGAGGTGCTCGCAATTTGTGCATCCCTGATACATAAATATTATAATAATTTGCTAAACCAAGAAATGATTGTAGATTCACCAAATTTGTCGGGGGAAGCATGTCTTTAATGGCACTTGCTCGAGCGGGATCTGGTCTTCTTCTTTTT